GCGGCGCCGCCACCTGGCGGCCGCCGCCTCGCACTGCACCCACCCCCGATCTATTCCAAAAACCCCCTCATTTTCGTCACCCAAAAACACGTAATTTTTTTCTCCCCCCCACAAAAAAATCTCATTTTTGGCACTCCCGCGGGGAAACACCACAAAGATGGGTGGGCACCAGCTCCCTCACACACGTCCAGCCATGAGGCCTCGGGGTACCATAGAGTGTGAGGCCCAAGGCTAATAACATGAGGTGGCAGCGTTAATGAGGTAAAATATTGCCACGTTATTGTTAATCTCTTAACAAATGCATTGAAAACCCAGCACCATCCATTAAAAGCTGCCCAGGGGTTGGGATGTGAGCGGGCAGTTTTTCTCCCTGTTAATTTATGACGGGCAAATCAGAAAGTCGAAGAGCCTAGGTGAGCTGCAATCCAGTCAGTTTTGGAGTGCACACACGAAATGAGGCTTTGGGATTTACTGTTTGACTCCTCACCAATTTTTAAGGTTCCACAATCACGTTCCTGTTTTGGGCTTATTTTTTCCTCCCCAAAAATTCTTATTTTCCACCCATTTTTAACTCTGCTTCCACTATGGCATGTGAAAGCAGCACACCAAGAAATGGGAAAGTGAAGGTTTGGTCCATCTCCCATAAAAGCTTGGTGCAAAATCAGACACAGGATAAGTCTCTACTTGTATTAAGCACAGAACCCATTTAAAATGAAACCTTCTGAAGGTACTAGGTGGTTAAGTACCTTGAAAATCGTGTTTCAAGGGTACATCAGGGGATTTGTCTTTGCTGAGGTGGATGAGAAGCCAGCCCTTTCAAGGCGTTTGCTGTAGACATCACAAGAAATCAAAGTCCTGGTGCCTATAGGAGCTGAAGCACCAGAGTGGCTGATCAGAGCCCAGGGATTTACAGTCACAACAGTTACTGACAACAAATTGTAGGTACCCTGCAAATCCCCGCGTGTGACGTGTGAATGATGCCTGAGACAAAAAGTACCAGGGCTGCCCGCAAGCACAACGCTAAGAAATTACAGTAAATCAACCAAATAGCAGAGGAGCTATGGGAAAGGAGCAAACACCCAACAGGTCAGTTTCCATTCGTTTTTGTACCTATTGGAGTCCATGTTATTTCACTTTGTAATAAAAGGATAAGGAGATCTTTGTAGTTATTTTACTGAGGTTAGAGAGGGTAACATGCACCTAGAGCAGCCTCCATAATAACCAAGCAGTAGTAGCATTGCCAATCAGAACTCACCTGAAGGCTAAAGCCTGAACTGAATTATCATTTACTTTTGTAAATCTGTTATAATGCCTGCCATTCAGTCAAGCTTTTACCCATTCCTATGTTTATTCCATGTGAGCTCTATCTCTTCAATGTAAATGAATGTCTTTATGTGTTGGTTTGTTATTTGTTTTATTTTAATAAGTAAATGCTTTTTAATGAATAAATGCTAAAAACAAAAAAAAAACAAACCAGGTTTCTGTGATTACAAATTCACTTTACCTTTTCTCTACCTCCAGAGCAATAGGGTGATCCAGGAATCAACTATCACTTATCCCTGTAACTTCCTCTAACCTTCCTGTCTGGGCACAGCAAAGATAACCTCTGCCCCAGCGGGCTCACAGTCTAAAAAGCTTTGTCCCACATAACCTCATGACAGTAACCCTTTCTGCATCTTCCTCTTCCATCTGTTTGCCACGCATGCTTTAAGAAATCATGTCAAGTGCTTCCCTGTCTTCCTTTTTAGTGATTCAAAGGGAAGCAAAGACTTGTCATGGTCAGCAAGTGAATGCTGCAGACTCCCAGTAATTAATCCTTGCATGTAGGACAAAACCACCCTTTACATCTACCTGCTTGTTCTAAGACAAGGAGACATTCCTATAGCATCTCATGAGCACAGAATTTAACATAAAATCAGTGACACTTGCCACAAGCAGACCAGAACAATGTTTTACCTCCTATGAAGACCTTCAAGCAGTTGCCACTGGCAGCAAATAAACCACATATTTCTCTTTTAAATAAGTTACCACAAAATAAAAAATAGAAAGAAACCCCATTACTTAAAATATTCATTCCCACATCTGGATGATAAAATATAATTCTTATGGCAAAATATAATTTTTAGGCGCTATGTTCCCTATCTGCAATTACATCAAAATCACATTAATTGAGCTATAACACTGTCAGGCCCAGCAGCTGGGAGGCACATCCATACATTCTAAAGAGGTGGCCATTAATTCAGCGCTCCACAGCGTGGCAATGAAGCTGGGATGTCCGTTCCCCAACGTGATTTACTGTCTTTCAAGCTGCTTAAGTGGGAACCTCTACAAAAAGATTTAAGTTAAGTGACTCTTATGCTGAGCTGGAGCTCATTTATTATTGAATTAAGTTTTCATTTCTTTTAAAGGGAAAGAGAAATACAGTTTTATTTGAAACAAGGTAAAAAAGTTCAAAGGAATCAGCTATTTCAGTTTAGGAAGTGAGAATATGTATCAGTGGGTGACGGTAGCATCTTGCTTTTCTATTGCTGTAATGATAAATTTAAAAATTATATATGTAGTTATAGTAGAAATTCACAAATATATCATTTATGTATATATGTATGTATACAGATATGGAAAAATATAGAGAGAGAATTAGAAATGAAGGTACAGATTAAATGTATCTGAACAATTTATGAGCCTAAGTCCCAAAACTAAACATAGGCTTAGTTTTAAGTCTATATGTGCCTGTTACCTTAGCATCCTTTTTCATATACTAGCAGTTCAGTCTTTTAAATAATGTATTCAACCAAGTTCTACTTCAGAAAATATATTGTATTTTATTTCTTTTCAATAAAAATAAAAAGACTTGCACCTGGCCCTCAAGCACTTTAGTTAGATGGGGATAGAAAGGGTGAGTGGTGTTTTTGTCACGTACTAAAAACTCAGTCTGAGAGAGAAACAAAAAATTTATCCTTCTCAAACAGCAGGTACCCAATTTCTGCCCTGAAATTAGAACATCAGAACACAGCAATCAGTGCAATATTTGGCCTCTGTCCTCTAACCACATGAAAGAAATATATTGAGCTAAATTTGCTGCCAGCTTAATTTTATTGAAATTAGTGGAGTTTATCCAACAAAATATTTGGCATCTTGCATTTGATAGACAAAATGTGCCAGTGCAGGGAATGGGATCTGGAGGGAAAGCAGTTATTTTGCATGCTTAATATTTCTGCATTGGCTAAATATTTCTGAGTAAAATATACTTTAAAAATAATAATTAAAATTTGCCAGGACCCCCATAATGGTGTCATTTACACTCCAGTCACATGAGTCTACAGCAAAAGACCCTTTCATAATTAGGAACGTACACTATATAAGCTCCCTCCCTAATTAGCAAATTATGTTGAAAATAGCATCCTGCTAATTAACGGTTATTATGGCATTTCTGAAGCTGAAGCTTTAATTATCACCGACCTAATGATTGTGTACAGAAAAAAACAACTTTTTTTCCTTAAATTATCAATAAGGGCAGGAGATTATTATCGGGTGAATCTGCTGACGGCTGATTAATTTGTTTGATGCAAAGTTGCTGTGTGTTTCATATTATTTTATCTGAGTTGCAGGAAAAAGGTACATAATTTGGTTTCATTAGCAACTACTGCTATTTATCACTAGAAGATACCCCTCCCTTTTTTGTTGTTTGTTCAATTCTCTCTGTGTTTTTGCCTGCACCAGCATCAAAGTCAAGAGCAGGAAGTTTTAATTAAGTGACACTAATGAGGTCGTTGAAAATGATACTTCAGCAATTCAGCATGCTGTTAAATGTGTTTATTCTATAATGTCATCAAAGGTGATTGTTTTCCCTTGTAATAGATAAAATTCATTACCATAAGCATTGTACTTTTGACTGTTAGAGATACAAAATGCGAGTTAGTCAGGTGTGTCTGTTGCACATTTCATCTCATCTACCTCTGTAAATGAATTTGCATCTAAAACTATCCCTTGAAAAGGAAATGTAGCATGAGCTGTAGTTGTAAACGGCTTTTTGTTTAGCAATAGCTAAGCTGTGAGCAACCTGCTTGGGTGTGATCATTGGAGCCCTGCTTTTAGAGCTGCCAGCCCATTCACAAGCGCATCTCAAAACTCTCTTGGCCGTAGCCTGTTTTGCAAGTCCTAATCAAACAGTTTGAATGAATCATTTTCAGTTTGCAAAGAAGCTGTACAGTAGTGAAACGAAGAATACTAAGGTTTTGAAAATCAAATAAATCATGATAGGCTGAAGATGTAGATGCAAGATGAAGATGCAAGATATGTTTTGTTAGGAGAGGTTGTCATCTCATAGACCAGCTGAACAAGGTCGAAGAAACACACTCTTCAAATCTGAATCAGGAGTAGTTATGAGCATTTGTGAGTCTCTGCTGCTCTGTTCGTCACTGGGGATTTGGCCATATAGAAATAACCTTTGTTTGGCCCCACATTTGCACAGGAAAAAAAACCTTAGAGATGTTTTGTAAGCTATGGCTCCTCCAAACATACACACCAAACCCAGTAATCCTGCAAGAAGAGCTAATAAAGAGATACATTCATGTCTAGAAGTTTGGTGTGAGCAGGGGCTAAAAATTCACAAAGGATCCCAAATGTCAAGGACAAGACAGTCCTTGTTGGAGAAACTATGTTTGTATCAATGTAGCACCTGCTCTTATCAATCCTGAAATTGTTTGATTCCTTGAAAAATTCATTTCAAAATTAAAAAGAATTAATACTAATCTTAAATTCAATTTGCAGAACTATGTTCAGTCAGAAGCTGACTTTGAAGTACAAATCTGAACATATGAAAGGAGCAATAAGCAGACGTAAATGGGGTTCAGCTCTCCTGACACCTTGCAGTGCATTAAAGACACGGCCATTCAGCATAACTTAGAACATAATACAGCCCACAGTACTTCCTGGCAACCCACTTCAACCCCAAAATTTCACTCATATGATTAAGAACGTCAAAATGTTGCCCTTGTATGCTAAAAAAAAATAAGGAACTAGGTACATGTGAACACTAAGGAGAGTAAAAATATAGTTCGTATTTTAATTGTATTTTTTAAAACTACTACAGTTCTGAGATTCTGAAGTTTTCCTTATTTAGAATAACATGAAGCTAAAAAACTAGAGAAATAAGCACTATGGGAAAAGTCTCTCTTTTCTTCCCTGAAGAATGGAGGCAATAATTTGTTTGGGTTTACATCAAATTAATTTTTAAAAACTGTTTCCAGTATTTTTTTTTTTAAAGTCAGATGAGGCAAAACCAAAAAAACTACAAGTTATTCAGAATGCCAAAGCACCACAAATATTTTTCAGTGGCAAAAGTCCAGTGTTTCCAATAAATAGCATTTGGACACTGCTCAATTGCTAAGTGAAATACAACATGGCATATGCGGGCTTAATACTGGAAATCTTTACTTACAGTTCAAATTTAGAGCTGCCTTTCAAAGCTTTGGTCTTAGATCCCATTTTAAACACCTGGCCCATCCTGCATGGTTTTCCATCTGTCTGGAGGGAGAACACTCCAACTCAAACAATGTAAAGCAACCAAATTCACCTTGTCCTTTTGTTCATGACAAAGATGGCCAGGGACATCTGGATTTGTCCAGAGAACCCAAAGAACACAGCATTCCCTGACATGATATTGCAAAGAGATGCTCCATTCTGGTAATATGAGTTGTGTTTTACAGAGCAAAACCACTCATTTCCCCCAGTTGTCAATGCTGCAGGGACACATCAGAATGTACTGGGGATAAAAGCCTCATCCTTCCTCCCTGAAGTTAATGGCAAAATTCCTATCAATTTCAGTGGGGCAGAGCTGGACCTTTAATAAGAAATAAACAGTTCCCACAGTGATTTTTACAAATAATAGTTACAGTGGCACCACAAACAAGCTTTGATGGCTGGATAAGACATGAAAAGAATTTTTGCTTTACAGTCAGGAGAAGGGAATTGGAAATTGCCTGCAAACTCACCCACCCATCCCCACGGCAGGAGCCATAAATCATCATTTTGTCCACACTGAGCAAAAAGCAGGAATCACAGGAAGATGCAGGGAGAGCCGCCCT